AGTGCCTTCATGCAGCTGAAGTGTTAACAGTTGGGCGGCGCTCAGCAGCTGTCTAAAACATAACCGATGCTTGCGTGTAGTATATGCTGCAATCAGTGTCCTTGCGTAGGCCGTGCAGCTATCTTCAAAATTATCATCGCCACAGTATTTTCTTCCACAAGAGGTACTTATTAAGGAGAAGCCACAAATGACCCTTAAAAAGCGGAAATTGACCATTATAGGCGTCAGCACGAGTGACGCATGAAGTCATTATCATGTGATGTCACACTACGACGGGTCTGTGACGTCACCATACGAGAGACACTTGGTCAAAGATGGGACTACGGAGACGCTCCAAAACCGCATGAGCATCTGAATGTTTTCATTGCCTCCAATTCCGGAGACTGTGCGTTACCTCGTTGGCCACAAAAAGTTCTAGTGGGGAGAGGTGAAGGGGGGGAGGAGAAGATCAGTGAAGTTGAATAAGAAAAAATGGCAGCACATCCACGGAGTGAATGATGGAGAGTGGGGCGAAGCATTCGTCCGTCCATGCGTCCGTCTGTGTGACCGTCCATGCGTCTGTTTGTGCGCCCGTTCCTGCGTTCTTTCATGCATCCGCCCCTGCGTCCGTTCATGCGTCCATCCATGCATCTGTTTGTGTGTCCGTTCGTTCATCTATTCAACACTCCAAGTCCCACCATCTCTCATCTTTTAGGGGCGAAGCTCCTTAGGGCGTGGGCTGTGCGTCCCCTGTATGTACCCGCCTCTAGTTTAGTTCTTGCAGTGTTCACTAGATGGCGGTACTGTCCCCTGTATGTAGCCACCTCTAGTTTAGTTCTTGCAGTGTTCACTAGATGGCGGTACCGTCTCCTGTATGTAGCCAGCTCTCGTTTAGTTCTTGTAGTGTTTACTAGATGGTGGTACTTGTAGCTGATGATGAAAAGATGCAAGATGTTATAAACTAGAAAGCGGTACTTGTAGTTGATGAAAGACGCGAGATCTTATAAATTAGGAATGATGTCACATATGGCGCGTGTCATTGGTTGAAGGCAATCGTTCGATTTAGTGCGGCGACGTACGCTAGGGGGAGCGATGTAATAAAATCGAGCTGGCAAAATGTACAGAGGATTCATGGTTTACCAGGTTTATCTCCGGAGCTTCGCCCACTTATCATCATTCACTTCGTGGATATGGCGGCACTTTTTTATCATATATTCCCCATATAGAAGCACCGCTATCCAGCGGACATTCCAAGGACTAAACGAGAGGTGGAACACGCACACTTTCTTACGGCCTGCGCTTTGGGTCCACTTCCCACCTTTAACCACCTCGAGTTCATGGTATATTCTAGTTCACTGTATTCATGGCACTGCGACCAAACGCTCGCTAAACCTTTCAAAAACCAAGGAGGTGACGCCCAGCGAGTATAACGTAGCAACCTTTCCCTGTCAAATAGGGCTCAATTTACATGCCAATGGCTGCTAATGAGAAATGAGCGACAGGAGAATTCGGGTTTTACTTTCTTACAGCTTGCGCTTCGTATCTACTTCTCATTTTTAACCACCTTGAGTTCATTCATGGTATATACTAGTTCATTGTATTCATGGCACTGCGGCTCAATGCTCGCTAAACCTTTCTAAAGCTAAGGAGGTTACACCCAGCGAATATAATGTAGCATCCCTTTCTTGTTCGATAGTGCTCAATGTACATGCCAATGGCTGCTAATGAGGATGGCAGCGTGCGCGTTGACTAAAAGCCGAATGCTCATGTCTCTCATTCCCCATTAGCAGCCATTGGCATGTACATTGAGCACTATTTTTTATTGTTAAACAACGCACAGAAGAAATCTCTCACTGGCACCACCTTGGAGGTCAAGTGTTATACCTATTTCGGGTATGTGCCACTGGTGGTTACATACGAGGGACGCCCAAGCCACGCCATAAGGAGCTTCGCCCCTAAAAGAATGTGGCTGTAGACTACGAGTCGCCTTAAGGAAATGCCTGACCTTTCTCTTGAACATGGCGACGTGGACTGGTGAGGTCATGAAACTACGAAAGCACCAACTAAAGCGTCTTCAATAAAATGCTCCTACCACCGCTCTATTCGTTTGGTTTTAGAGATACAAAACGACGAGGCCCCTTGTTAGAGCACCGGTAACCTTGTGTAAGATTAGCGAAATAGTCGTGACTACAATCTCACGAGAAGGCGCAATAGCCTTTCCTAGCGAGATTGAATTCCACGAATCCCAGCGAAGCCCGCCTTAGTGCAGTCTACTAGCTACTGCATATGCCACGTTTAGCCTTATAGAGAACTTTAGCACAGTCCGCAACAGCGCGCACCCTGCGCTGTCGCGATCCAGGTTATAAAGCCGCCTTGTATACACAGATGGAACGGTAATCAAACGCGCTTAAATGGCATGTATACTCTCCACCACTGTCGTCTCGTAGAGAATCGAAGTTCTGTATTCATCAAATGTAGCCAGCATTCTTTACGGTAACACACAATGGTAAAGCAATGCGTGCCACGGCGTTCTTTCTGCGCTATCACTTCCGCGTATTTTTGGAAGAGTGTGCGAGAAGATCGAGCGAGACGTCGAAAGTTGTAGTCCGTTTCAAGACATCTACTTCGAGTGAAACTGCTATTTTGTAAGGCGAAAGCTTTGCTCGTCAATGCGAAAATTGACCGGCATTCTGCGTCGGTGGTGCCAACAGAGCGGTGCAAATAATTATCATCACGTAATGACATCGCCATACTACGTCACGTTCCCCTAAATCTGCCATTTTCGCGCCACAATGACGTCATGGCTTGACATCGCGAATTGGTCTACGGTAGGCTGATCTCGGAGGCAGTGCAAAACCAGGCATCCGATTCTGAATGCAATGCAAAACAAAGTTCGCTACAGAAAGCCTTCAGAGGATGACAGGAATGGAACAATAGACTGAGCAAAATAAGAAGATGGCTTTCGCGTTTTAACTATCTTGCTTGACTGCATATTGACCCCTGTGAATAGTTTTTAAAGTGAGAGCATATGCTGCATCCACGAAGTAGGAATAACTGCATCGAGTTCTTTTCATCCACTTCACTTTCTCCACCTTTATGGCATAACTATTAGAAATAACATCCTTTCCTTGCAATAGTGCATGGTATTTATATTATTCTTGTGTCTAACAAAGCGAAACGAGCCTTCAAATTTCGCTTTGTTTCCAGGATAGAGTTCTTGCTGCTTCCGAAAAAGTCTCCTTATAGTTAGTATTGGATCGTTCACGGTTCTATTTGGTTGGTTGGTTGCTCCTCAGCGACCAAGCACAACCCAGTTAGATTCGTTGTTCGTTTGATTGTTTGTTCATTTGTTTGTTTGTTTCTTTGTTTGTTTGTTTGTTTGTTTGTTTGTTTGTAGCCTAGAATCTATGGCTCATACCCACTCTGGGGGATCGGCCAGAGAACATATAGTCTCATAAGAAATCACGTTTTCACTATGGCGCCCACCAAGCATCGATACGAATCGTCAACTCCACCTGTCCTCTTTGATGGCTCTCCGCATGCCCACTGGACTCGACCGAAGAGAAGCCACCCTTCTTCATCACTTATGGCTAGGAGTGGCATTTACAAAATCCTATTCCTTTGTCATGGGAATGGCCGACAACGCTCTCTGCGATGCCTGTCGTTGCGAAGAGACGCTACACCACATCCTGTGTGACTGTCCGTTGTATGAAATCCAGAGACAGTCACTGGAGTCCGCTTTTGCGCGCATCGACAACAGCCAAATGTCTGTGGACACTATTCTGTCAAGTGCCCGAGAGAAGACACTGCAACAGAAGGCGGCGAAAGCTCTGTTGAAATTCCTACGCGACACGGACTTGAACAAACGACAGTAACAGCAACGTCACACACCACAAATGACATGACTGGGCTATGACTAAGAGTGCGCGTGTGCTGCCAAATGTGCTGTGTTTCTCTCCCCCCTCTCTGCTCTCTATCTTTCATCTCCCCCATCCCTCTCCCATGCGCAAGGTAGCAAACCGGCTGCCTATAAGCTGGTTAACCTCCCTGCCGTTCTTTTCCCCCTGTTTTCATTCATATTCATTTAGGAACAATAACTGCACTATTGTTTGCAACAAAAAAGCGAAAAAAAGTTGTAGAATGAAAACAGTATAGTAACAAAGAAGTTCTATACCGCTATTTTATTTTCGTCACTGAAATAATGTGCCCCACAAGCGAGGAACACCAATGGCGTGTCATTGCACCAAAGAAGATGCAGCGCGTGTTCACGTGGCTCGAGACTCCAGGTGAAAACTGCCATTTTTAATCAACCGCGACGTTTGGGAAAAGCTAGCCGGCCACGCCAACACGCGCTGCGTTTTATCGCAGACCAACCTCAAAGAGCGATGGCTGCCGCAGCAAAGAAGCCTGTGCTGGTTCAGCTTGACATAGATTCCATCGACGGCGGCACCAGCCCATGGTTCAGTGGCATGGGTCGCATGATCGTGGCCATGGTGACCACAGACCCCGAAAACGCCGACCTGTTCGGACAGTTGGCGAGCGAAGGCAGCATGGCCACGCTCGTCTCTTACCTGGACACGGAACAGGCTATGGTGAGCTTCATCGCCCTGCTTTGCTACATTGCCCTGGGCCTCACGCTGCTCTCGCTGTTCGTGGTGCTTCCGGTGGCCACTTTCGCACTGCGTCGCCACACGGCCGGCGTGGGCCTGGTACAGTGCCTGATGTGCGGGCTGGTTTTGGTGGGTTTCTGCTTGGTTCAGCTCATTTGTCTCATGAGCATGATAAGCACCTGGTACGCCATGAAGGACGCCCTGGGAGAGAAGGCACCGGAAGCGTACGAGTGGACGTTCGAGCTGCTCCACAACTACACGCAGCTTACGGTGACGATGCTCAAGGCGGCCAAGGACACTGATTCCAACCTGGGCAAGAGCCTGACAGCAACCACAAACAGCATCAAGTAGCTCAAGGGCAACATAACGGCGTGGGAAAACAGCTTCTCCGCGTTCGACTCACTGCAGGGCATGACCACGGGCCTGCTTCCTTTTCTGCAGATGGGTGTCCTCGGCCTCGGCATGGCGACGGCAGTCTCCTCTGCCCTGCTTGGATGCGTCGCATGGAACCGCCGGAAGAGGAACATGGAGCAAGGCAAGAAGAGCCCCATTTTCGTGGCGACTATCATTGTGGCCAGCGCGGTTCTGCTGCTAGTGCACCTGATTATCGCGCTGCCCATGATAGCACGCTGGCTGCCACTGTGCGTGATGACTAACACGTACCTGTGCGCACCGTACCGCGATAGCTCGTACGTTGTGCTCGACGATGCTATCACCAGACTGTGGCCTCCGAGTAGCAGGCCCGAGCCGTTCTGCCGGCTTGTGCCCAGCAAACTCGCCGTCAACTGTTCCACCAAGGGCAAGGCACCGATCAAGAGCCTCCCGACGTGTGCGAGCAAGGCCACAAAAAAGAAGACCCTTGAAATGCCAGGGGAAGACGCCGTCGTGGAAGTGCAAGTTCTGCGGCCGCCACAACCGAAAGCTGCAGCAGCGCCGGCGGCCAAGGTTAAGGTCAACGGCGACTGTTTTTATCCTTACAAGATCATCGACACGGACATGACAGCAGCGTGCCCACTTTACTCGGATAACCTGGTTGCCCACTGGATGGCTATGGTGGTGTCGGTAATCTTCGGTGTGGTCGCTGCCATGGCTGCTGGTGCACTTGCCGTTGTGTATTTGGCCATCGGCAAAAAGAAGCCGAAAAAGAAAATCAAAAAGCTTCGCAGAAGAAAGCGCGCCAAGAGGTTATCATCGGAGACCCAGACGCCTCCGCCAACCCCTCCGCCGCCACCCCCACCACCTCCCCCTCCGTCACCAGCTCCGCCCGAGCCTGTGAAAATTGAGGTACAAGTTCCGGAACCGATTGCGTTGCCTGTGCCCATCAAGAGGCGGCGGCGACGTCGCAAGCCAGTCAGGCCCGTCCTCGTGATGCCGCGGCCGACATGCTCGCACCCACCACCACAGCCCTTACCCCCTCCGATGTCAACGCTTTTGCCGGCTCCGATCTTCCTGCCTCCGCCTATGATGCCCACGATGCCGCCGTTTCCGACGCCACCCGCACTTCCGCCTCCACCACCCAGCGAGCCACCACCGCCCCCGCAGATGATGAACAACTGTTCGGCTGAGAACCAGCAGTCGGCCGTCGCGTTCACGAACGTGAACGTGTACGGCGGTGGTGCAGCAGGCGGCTGTGGTTCGTGGCCGTACGCGCAGTCTGCGCTGCCTGCAGTCTACCCGACCAGAGCAGCGATCTCTGCGCAACCCAGCCGCACGACTTTGACGCCGCAGCCGGTACCATCTTGCGGGGTGACCCAGACGTCGGCGTCGCGTCTAACGGGGGGCTCATCGCCGGCGGCACCATCGACAGCGGCTTCGCGAAGTGTGTTCCAAGGTGTCCGAAGCATGACGCAGCCCGTGGTCACTGAGCGCTAGACCTACGTGGTGCAGGAACGGCGCACATGACTGTATATTTAGCTGATCCACGTCTTTCTTGGAGGCATTGAGCACCTCCAGAGGCGCTAATATATAGTAATAAACGTGGTGTCGTTAATAGACCGAATAACAGTTGTCTGTTGATATCACTCGCGAAGATTTTGCACACTTCACGTGAAGCACAGTTAGTGCGAAGCATTCTAATGAGAAAATACGGCACCACGAGAGCTTCGAGGTAGCCCTATCGACCTACTCCCAAGCTTTAAATGCGGAGCAATTGTTAGCGAACTTGGGCGACTTTGAGCGTATCTATCTATCTATCTATCTATCTATCTATCTATCTATCTATCTATCTATCTATCTATCTATCTATCTATCTATCTATCTATCTATCTATCTATCTATCTATCTGTCTGTCAGATCTATCTATCTATCTATCTATCTATCTATCTATATATCTATCTATCTATCTATCTATCTATCTATCTATCTATCTATCTATCTATCTATCTATCCATCTGACCGCCTACGACTTTCAGCTCTCCTGGCCGTTTGGATAAGGGTATCAATACCGAACTTGGTATGGCATAACATCACTCTATGACGAGCATATTTCACTAGTAACATGAAAATCATGATATGTATGTCATGAATGTCATGATTTACATTTTATGGTCTTGCTGCTCTTGCGGTGGCTTCGTTTACATGGCACGTTGCAAAACTGGTACTGTATGACATAATTGCATGGCGAATGCAAGCCACACACTCTAACAGAGAAATTATGACACGCGTGTCTTATAACAACATGACTACATGCCACGCTCATGATGCGCTCGCGGACATTTCGCTAGTGTCTCATGTACAAAAAGTGGTAATATGGTACGTGAATGGATGACGAAGGTATGTGACATATGCAAACATGATATTCATGAGATGCGTGTCATGTAACAACATGACCACATGCCACGCTCATGATGGACGTGGCCGTTTCGCTAGCTTCACTTATACCATCTTTGGTTTTACGGGGCGTGAATGAATGACGAAGGTATTAGGTTGGCGAAAAACATGATAAACTAAAGATGCGTGTCATGTAACAAAATGACTACATGATGCGCTCACAACCATTTCGCTAGCTTCACATATGTTAAATTTGGTATTACGTGACGTCAATGGATGAATAAGGTATGTGACTGGCGCAAACATGATAATAATTTAATGCGTGTCATGTGACAAATTGACCACATGCCACAGTTAAGGCGCATATACACTTCGACGTGAGAGGGCGAGCGAGCACGCCGGCGTGGCCACGCCAGGCGTGGTCTGTCGCTTTGACGCATGCGCGTTTCAGCACGTCCGGCGTACCTCCATCACGAAAAAAGGCCGATGCAGTGCTCTCTGGGTAACGCATCGGCGCGAAATGCAGCATGTCGTACGTCGCGCCTGGCGTGAGACTATAGAGTTCTCGCGTTTTGCTAACGTATAGCGTCACTGTGCCCAGCGTGCGCGCGCGTCAACGTCACGTTGGAGTATATCGGGCCCCTCATGATGCACTCGCCACCGTTTCGCTAGCTCCGCATATACCAAATATGGTGTTACGTGACATCAATGGGTGACGAAGGTATATGACTAGTGCAAACATGACAATTACCTCATGCGTCTCATGCAAGAACATGACAACATACCACGTTTTCAGCGTGCTCGCGACCGTTTCGCTAGCTTTATATACTAAATTCGGGCCCACGTGACGTGAATAGATGGTGAAGGTAAACGACACGTCTAAACATAGTAATCATGACACGGAAGTCGTGTACGGCATAATTTATCTCCACCTCGTAACGTTGTGGGGCTTTTAAAGTTACATATCAATCTTCCTCATTCGTGCTTCGCATATAGAATCAATTACTATTGTACGTGGTATCTGCCAATTTTGTTTTGAAATGTCCATCATTCGAAAGTGAGTACTGACACACAAAAAATAAAAAGAAGAAGATAAGAAAGCCTAAAGGGATGTGCCACGGACATTTACGATCCAGCAACGCCCAGGAGGCTATACGAACATTATCTTTCGAAAGCAGGCTCCTAAACCTTCGCGCTATAGAAACTGAACCTTCTTATTTTTTTTTTCCAGTTCGCTCCAGCCAGAGTCCTTCCATAATCCGGCTAAAAGAATTGTATCGTCTCGGTACAAATAAATGTGTCACCTTTTTTTATTGCTTCCTGCTTACCGCGCATGTTCGCGAAAAAAAATTACAGCATATCCATGAAGTAAACGATGATGAGTGGGGTGAAGCGTCCGTCTGTCGCGTTCGTTCGTTCTTGCTTCCGTCCATGCGTCCTTCCGTGCATCTATACATCCGTGCGTTCTGCCGAGCGTCCGCCCCTGCGTCCATCTGTCCTCTCATCTGTCTGTCTGTAAGTCCACTCGTCGATCCAAGCGTCCGTCTGCTTGTCTGTCCGTTCGTGCATCTGTCCGTCCATCCATGCATCACTATACGGCGTCTTTCATAGTCATATGGAGGTTTTCGTACGTTAAAACCCACATACCAAACCAGCCAACATCAGTCGATCTGATGTCGTTTTAGCGGCAAAGCTGATAAAGGCTCCGAAGCTTCACCCCATTCATCATCGTTCACTCTGTGGATATGCTGTGATTTTTTTCCCTCGAATTCGCAGAGAGGGTGATCTTGAGCGCCTTCATGCAGCTGAAGTTTTAACAGTTGGGCGGCGCTCAGCAGCTGTCTAAAACTTAACCGATGCTTGCGTGTAGTATATGCTGCAATCAGTGTCCTTGCGTAGGCCATGCAGCTGTCTTCTCAATTATCATCGCCACAGTATTTTCTTCCACAAGAGGTACTTATTGAGGAGAAGCCACAAATTACGCTTGAAAAGCGGAAATTGACCATTATAGGCGTCCGCACGCGTGACGTGAACTCAATATGATGTGATGTCACACTGTGACGGGTCTGTGACCTCACCACACGAGAGACACTTGGTCCAAGATGGGACTACGGAGACGCTGCGAAACCGCGTGAGCATCTGAATGTTTTCATTGCCTCCGATCCCGGAGACTGTGCGTTACCTCGTTGGCCACAAAACGTTGTAGTGGGGAGAGGTGAAAGGGGAGGGGGAGAAGATCAGTAAAGTTGAAGAAGAAAAAGAAGGTGGCTATAGATTACGAGTCGTCTTAAGGAAATGCCGGACCTTTCTCTTGAACCTGGCGACGCGGACTGGTGAGGTTAGCAAACTACGAAAGCACCAACTGAAGCGTCTTCAATAAAATGCGCCTACCACCGCTCTATTCGTTTGGTTGTTAGAGAAACAAAACGGCGAGGCCCCCTGTTAGAGCACCGGTAACCTTGTGTAAGATAGGCGAAATAGTCGTGACTAGCCCCTCACGAGGTGACGCAATCGCCTTTCCTAGCGAGATTGAATTCCACGAATCCCAGAGAAGCCCGCCTTAGTGCAGCCTATTAGTTACTGCATATGCCACCTTTAGCCTTATGGAGAACTTTAGCACAGTCCGCAACAGCGGGCACCCTGCGCTGTCGCGATCCAGGTTATAAAGCCGCTTGTATACAACAATGGAACGGTAATCAAACGCGCTTGGACGGCGTGTATACTCTCCGCCACTGTCGTCTCGTAGAGCATCAAAGTTCTGTATTCATAAAATATTGCCAGCATTCATTACGGTAACACACAATGGTAAAGCAATGCGTGCCACGGCGTTCTTTCTGCGCTATCACTTCCGCGTATTTTTGGAAGAGTGTGCGAGAAGATCGAGCGAGACGTCGAAGGCTGTAATCTGTTTCAAAACATCTACTTCGAGTGAACTGCTATTTTGTAAGGCGAAAGCTTTGCTCGTCAATGCGAAAATTGACCGGCGTCCTGCGTCGGCGGTGCCAACAGAAAGATGCAAATAATTATCATCACGTAATGACATCGCCATACGACGTCACGTTTCCCTAAATCTGCCATTTTCGCGCCAATATGACGTCATGGCATGACATTGTGAATTGGTCTACGGTAGGCTGATCTCGGAGGCAGTGCAAAACCAGGCATCCGATTCTGAATGCAATGCAAAACAAAGTTCGCTACAGAAAGCTTTCAGAGGATGACAGGGATGGAACAATAGACTGAGCAAAATAAGAAGATGGCTTTCGCGTTTTAACTATCTTGTTTGACTGCATATTGACCCCTGTGAATTGTTTTTAGTGTGAGAGCATATGTTGAATCCACGAAGTAGGAGTAACTGCATCGAGTTCTTTTCATCCACTTCACTTTCTGCACCTTTATGACATAACTATCAGAAATAACATCCTTTCCTTGCAATAGTGTATGGTATTTCTATTATTCTTGTGTCTAACAAAACAGAACGAGCCTTCAAATATCGCATTGTTTCAGGGATAGAGTTCTTGCTGCTCCCGAAAAAGTATCCCTATAGTTAGTATTGGATCGTTCACGGTTTTATTTGGTTGGTTGGTTGCTCCTCAGCGACCAAGCACATCCCAGTTAGATTCGTTGTTCGTTTGTTTGTTTGTTAATTTGTTTGTTTGTTTGTTTGTTTATTAGTTTGTTTGTTTGTAGCCTAGAATCCATGGCTTGTACCCACTCTGGGGGATTGGCCAGAGAACATATAGCCTCATAAGAAATCAAGTTTTCACTATGGCGCCCACCAAGCATCAATACGAATCGTCAACACCACCTGTCCTCTTTGACGGCTCTACGCATGCCCACTGGACTCGACCGAAGAGAAGCCACCCTTCTTCATCGCTTATGGCTAGTAGTGGCATTTATGATCTTATTCTTTTGTCATAGGAATGGCCGACAACGCTCTCTGCGATGCCTGTCATTGCGAAGAGACGCTACAACACATCCTGTGTGACTGTCTGTTGTATGAAATCCAGAGACAGTCACTGGCGTCCGCTTTTGCGCGCATCGACAACAGCCAAATGTCTGTGGACACTATTCTGTCAAGTGCCTGAAAGAAGACACTGCAACAG